AGAGGCAAGAAACAAACCATGGCCTGACATCTGTGTTCCAATGTTCATTGCGGCACAGTTCACAATTGCAAGGAGTTAGAAACAACCCAAATTTCCATCACCTGATGAATGGATTAAAAAACTGTGGTACATACATACAATTGAGTACTATGCATCCCTAAAAAGCAGTGATGAGCGCATGAAGCATACTGTCCCATGGGAAAAACTGGAGGAAATCATGCTAAGTGAAGTAAGCCAAGCACAAACAGACAAGTACAACATGAGTCCACTGAGGTAAGCTTAAAAATGCAAAGGGGGCATAGGGAAAAAGCTACTGTATACAAACGTTCCTGGGGTGAGGTCCAGGTAGTACGGCAGGGGCCAGACCAAATCCAGAGATACATATGTTAGCTAACTAAAAAGGAAGGAAAAAAAAAAAGATATGGGTAGCGAGGGAACAGGGCACTAACACACCCAAGGGGAGGGTATTGCTTGTATCTTCACAGGGAATGAGGGATCAGACTTCAACTTGGTGCTCCAAGATGTGATGCAACATATTGGCATGAAGCAGAGAACCAATAGAGAGGTCTAAGGGGCCAGCCCCAATCTCAACTAGGTGGTCAGCACCCCCTCGCCCCAGAAGAATTCAGGGGGAGGGACATGTCTGATCAGAGCACACAGGAGTAAAGGAAGGGAGAGGAAGAGAGTGGAACACATCCTGTCCCACAAGCCCTGAGGACGATATTCCCGCTCAGAGCAGCCAAAGTACAGAGAGGACCATAAGGATGGCCTCACCACAAGACACGAAGAGAAATGATCACAATGATCTACATCCCTGAGGGATGGACAACAGAAAAGTGGGTGAAGGGAGACATCGGACAGTGTAAGACATGAAAAAATAATAATTTACAAATGATCAAGGGTTTGTGAGGGAGGGAGGAAAAGGGAGGGGAAAAACGAGGAGCTGATACCAAGGGCTCAAGTAGAAAGAAACTGTTTTGAGAATGATGATGGCAACAAATGTACAAATGTGCTTGACACAATGGATGTATGTATGGATTGTGATAAGAGTTGTGTGAGCTCCCAATAAAATGATTTTTAAAAAAAAGTTAAGCTACTTAAAGAGTTTCTGAGATACAAAGCCCTATTAAAAGAGGGATCACATAAATTGTAAACATTCCACATTGAAACGAAGACACTGCTGTCACCTGTATGGCAGGAAACTGGCCCAAGAATTCTCATGGGAAGTGGCAAGCTCGCTCAGAGAATGCTAAGAAAACAACTCTGATAAAGTTACCTGTCAATGGGTTTTACAGCAAGGGAAACACCAAATAATGATACATTCTTTATTTTTAAGCTTCTACTTTTCAGGGAACTTATTTTTCCAACTTTTTAACAGTGATATAGAAGCTACAGAGTAGAAGAGATTCCCCTCATTTGTAGGCACACATCATCTGGTTTCTGTTACTATTTTTAAAGCATTACATTTAAAAATTATATTAATACAAAAAAATTAGCAACATGCCTTCCACTGTAGAATTGCACCTCAAGTTTTTCAAATTTCTTCAATACTTTTAAATAGTTTAAATCATAATCAATTTTGAAAGTGTAATATCTTGCAGGGAAATGCGGTGCTAATAAAAATGAGTACGAGAAAGAAGAAAACCTTCTAAAAGTGACTGTATAACTCTTTTTTAATAAAACTGAACTATTGAATTGCATGATATGTAAACTATGTGCCAATGAAACGGTTTTTAAAAAAAAGAAAGTTTAATATCTTTCTCTATTTTGCTACTGTCCTATTTTTCATTTTAATGGCAACAATATGTTTCTGGAAGTTAACATAGCATTAATTACTTAATTATAATTCTACTGTTGGTTATTTTAGAATCTTTCCAATTTCTTATTAAAATAAGTAATGCATTTGTGAATGCTTTCACGTCTACAGATTTGTCTCAATTTTTAAATTGTTTGTTTCGGACACACTCTCAAGCAAAGAATTAATGTGTTTGGTAAAGATTTATATCATCAAACTATCTCACCAAATGACTCAAGGTGTCAGATCTACTCCGTGGGTAGTTTGATTTATTTGCATGCTAAATATTTGTTTAATGCAGCCTTAAGTGTTTAGAACGGTACAGTAAGCACTCATTAAATGTTAATAGTTACAATGTTTTTCTTCTTTATGAAAATCTCTAATAAGCTTTGTGTCTTGACAAGAGGGGAAAAGAAAGATTATTTAATATACAACAAAATGTTGGTTTTTATTCTCTTATGCTAAAAACATTAGACTACAGGGCTATTTGTTTCAACAGATTTTTCCCTAGTCTTTTTTACTATGTACACACAACCCTGTATTGGAAATTCTGAGTTATGTTGGTTAAGAGCGGGAAAGACACCAGAGGTACCATAATGTGCTCTAGTTCTTCAAACATTTTACATCAGAATGAATTATTTTACCAGTTGTGCAGGAATTATACACTAAAATACCTCTTGCGGCTTGGAGCTCTAGTTCACAAAAATAAAACAGGATACTTTAGAATGTGGGACCAAAGTTTTATCTTAATTAAAACATGCTGTATGTGGCACATTAGCTCTTGAAAAAAATATGTCCGCTGAATTGTTTTAAAAATAAAGGTCTAATCACGCTTTAAAAATCTGGCTTTAGTCAGGGTGCCACGTAGCAACGATGAAACATACAACTTTCCTCTCGTTCCTAAATGCTTCCTCCGGTCCCCAGCCCCCACTATCATGATCCCAATTCTACCTT